GCTGCGTCAATCCATTGCCGATCATGGGAGGAAACTTTAGATTTCTGGAACATTATCGAAGATTTCCTATTGTAAACACTGGATCTACGGATCCTTTTTTTTTTGCGCAGGCAAATCTCTTCATCAAAAAAAAGAAAATTTGAAAATTCAGGCTTGGGAATTTTACAGAACAATTAACGATGCTTCGCGGATTTCTGCCGATCATTTGACTGACTTGATTATTATTTTCTTTTTAGTTACAACCTTTTCCGTAACTTCTTAAAATATACAAAATTAAGTGCAAGTATTAATTTTTTCTTCGAGCGGCTCAGTTAATGTCTATTAAAACTAACGACCTGCCAATCTGCCACTCCACGTTTTTTGCTCTAATATCTCCTTGTAGAGTTGAAGTTGTACCATTATAAACTATAAAAATGTCACTGTCCAGTGCTAAGGTTTCATCGATTCGCTGAATTTTTACAACAGTTTTGCAAAACGACTCATTTCTTTACTGGTAGCAGCGAGTGTTCATCGTATTTCAACTGATTTATAAATGAGCCACGATCTTTCAATATCGCTTGCCGAAAAGTTACTGGTTGCAGAATGTTTTTTCGTGGTACAGTAAAAGAGAGATTATGTAACTACAGTATCCAGTTACCGCAATAATTACAGTATTTCGTTACAGTATTCGAGCCCCTAGAATGAAGGGTCAAAGGTAGCGTTGCCAAGAGCACTACTGCCTTTGGCATTTGTTTTACTTCCAAATGTTTTTGCCTTTCAAATACTCTGAATTATGCGTTTTTTATATTCCTTGTTCAACTTTTTTATGAATGGAAAGTACGTGGAAGAATTTTTTGATAATTTTGGCCGATGCATTAATTTAAGGAGCTCAAAACTCCTTTGCTGGTTGCTGTTAGTAGTCCATGCTCACCTCGTGGTCGATCAAATCCATGCGCATCGTCAACATCGCCACTTCCATAGGGGGCTCTTGGCGGGCCGCCAAATGCACCTCGGCCACCACGCCAATTTCCAGGACCACGAGCACGCCAGCCCATATTTTGTGGCCCATATCCACCATACGGTGATACACCACCACCGCCGCCGGCACCACGAAATCCACCACGTCCACGATAAGCACCGCGAAAATCATCGCCGTGATATTCATCGCC